GTAATAAACTTTTGGACAGAACAGCATAAAAATGTATTCATATTTTAATATCTAAAGGATGCCTTTCCCATGCTTCCACAATACCCCCCAAGTGTGAACGTAAAAGCACACACACACACACACACACACACACACACACACATATATATATATATATATATATATATTATAGGCAATAAGAAGCCGGAGTAACATCTAACTTCGTCAAGTTAGGAAAAGAATTTACGTACTGTATACTGCTCTGCGTACTTTTCCATGGTTACCCGGTGTATCCATGCTGTACAGCCAGCCAGGACAAGTCCATTACCTGATCTTTGTAGTCATCCGCCACCCCCTTCTGCAGCTCCTATTGTCCCATGCCTGCCTGACCTCTGTGCTTAATAAACAAGCATACATGAAACTGTTTACTGTTTCATGAAGATGACGCCGATGATGACGATGACGCTGAATTAAATACGTTCGAATTTCATGGGGAGAATAAAAAAAAAAAAGCAGAGGCAGAAGTGGAAGGAAAGCAGATCCACCTCATTTGTCATTTCACACAGCGAAACCCATTCATTTACGTCACGCTTTGGTGTAACGTATACAACAACTTCCTATTAAAATGCCAAACATATTCCAGTCTCTATTTTCAAAACCAGAACTCACCCCAAAAATAACCGTTGAAAGTGAGTGACACTAAGCCTAATTATAAGGCCAGACCGGCACGTGTGAAGAGAAGATAGGGGGTGGTTCAAGAGGGAGGGAACATGCTGAACGGTGTGAGGGTAGAGCTGCAGCCTTACACTGAAATCTGACAGTTTGTTGGTTTAATGAGGAGCAAGGGGTTGTAGTGGGGTGGTCCAGGACGTCGTGAAGGCTATCATGACCTCTGACAGCCAGCCATGGGTACAGACCTCGGCAAAACATATTTATCTGCGTTACACAGGATCATTTAAGCTGGTTCCTAAACAGCGGCGGATGAGACTTTCATTTGGGACATACCCATTTCGAAACTCGTACAGGACACCGGATATAGTGGCCTTTCTCCGTCTATCCGGATGAATGATGAAAGATTATCTTAAAACGGGTCACTACCAATTCCGTTCCATTTGACTATACCTACTTCATTCGACGCATATATCTTCGCGACTGATCCAGCGTCGTAAAATAACCTCAGGATAGATTCACCTACCGATAAATGATTCATGATTGAGAAAATACTTTTATGGGGTGATAGTTCTCACAATAAGGCGTTTATTTGGTACATACATGAAGGCCGAAATGGTTTATACATGAAAGGATTTACTGGTTTTATTAGAGGTGTGATTAGGAACATAATTACGAGTAGCCAAAGCGCACCGCACAACCACCATTTGGGCGAGAACATCACACATGTACGTGGCTCTCACAGAGAGGTCACAGCGCATTCTGTCGGCACATTCCTGTACTCTCATCAGCATGCATTCGTTCTAATTATCAGTTTCTGTACTGCAGTGTGCTTTGTTAATGTGAATATGCAGTGGCCTGTTCGTTAGAGCCTAAAAGGCTCCTTATAAAGGTACAGGACAAAGTTGTCATATTTCCAAGGTAGTGGGCATATTGTTTGTTGATACGATCTTGAACCATCAGTATTCTGTTGCGTTCAGGTAGCTTAAAGTGTCTGGTATGAGAATCAGTACGAGCTGCGGTACCTCAGTCGGTATAGTGACTGGCTACGAGCTGGGATACCTCAGTCGGTATAGTGAATGGCTACGAGCTGGGCTACCTCAGTCGGTACAGTGACTGGCTACGAGATGGAAGATCGAGGAGGTCCGAGTTTTCAGTCTCGGTGGGGTCAAGAATTTTCTCTTCTCCAGGTCGTTCAGACCGGCTCTGGGGTCCACCCAACCTCCTATCCAATGGATACCGGGGGCTCTTTCCCTGGGGATAAAGCGGCCGGGGCGCGAAGTTGACAACTCACCTCCCGTTAGTGCCGAAATCAGGAAAATGCGAATCTATTCATTCACCCCCATACACTTTCATGGCATAGTGCTTAATTAGTTAAGTACAGTGACAAATTTTTATTACTTACTTACTTACTCATGGAGCTGAGCCCTTCTTGAGGAGTCGCCAATTGTGCAGCTACTCAAGAATTTCCCAGCATTTTATGGAACCCGAAGGTTCATCACCGTGTTCACAAGAACCCTCCACTGGTCCCTATCCTGAGCCAGATCTCTCCAATCCATACCACCCCATCCTATCTCTCTAAGATCCATTCTAATATTGTCCACCCACCCACCTACGCCTTGGTCTTCCCTGTGTTCTCTTTCCTTCTGGCTTATTTTTATTATGATCTCAAAAGCAGAATTCTTTTTTTCCTTAGCACTACAGACCCTGTGGGCCTAGGCCTACCTCCATGAACTTCTCCGTTCACTTCGGTTTTTCTAGATCTTACACATTCGGTAGGACTCTTTGGGCGGGTGATCAGCTCGTCGCAAGGCCTCTACCTGTACACAAACACGGAAAAACGCACACACACAAACTAAATATCCATATCCCTGAGTGGGATTCGAACCCACGATCCCGGTTTCCAAGCGAGCGAAGACAGTACGTGCCTTAGACCGCTCGGCTACCGTGACCGGCCAAAAGCAGAATACATTCAGAAAATAAATCAAAGCCAAAATCCTGTAGAGCAAGGTTCAGAGAAAATACTAGCCTAATTTCGAATAGGGTGGTTTCCCATTTCTGATAGGTAAGATAATATTCCTGAAAAACCAGCCTGTCCGAAATATGGCGACTTAACCCTGCGCCATGGCGATCACGGTGGCTGCGCGGTCTGGCATGAACTATTTTCGCTCGCTCGAAGGTTGGGATCGTGGGTTGGAATCTCACTTGGGACATGGATGCTTGTGTACGTTTATTCTGTGTTAGTGTTGCTCTGTGGGTAGGTAGTGGCCTTGCGACGGGCTGATCCCCCATCCGAAGAGTCCTATCGCTGTGTAAAAAAGATTACGAAACCGAAGAAGAGACCAGGGCCCAAACAAAGGGCTGCAGAACCATTGCTGAATGAATGAATCCCTATATTATATTTGTACACTTGCATCAAACAACTGAAAACGTTACTATAAATGTAAAATTATCACAAAACTTACACATTTTTAATAACTAAATAATTGTACAGCCCGACATGTTTCAGTTTGGTTTGGTTGTTATTAGAGGCGACATATTCTGAGGGATACTTTAAACAATTTACATAATATACGTTTAAAATATTTTAAGTAAATTATGTAAAGTACTGGTTGCCCCTGACGATGGCCAATTTAGATCGAAGTAAGGCAGAATGTGTAGTTATTTAATCATTAAAAATCCGACACAATTTATGACACTTCTGTGCGTAGACGGAGATGATACTAGAAACAAGCTGGCAAAAATATGCAGAGTGTAGGGGTTCGGGGGCGGTCACCCTGTTATTACTCCTATAATTTAAATGTTTGAATTTCAGCATTTGTGACACTTGTAGATAGTGCAACACGGATAACTTAAAGCGAAAACTCTAACAAATTCCAGAATTACAGTTCTGTATATGCTAATCTTTACATTTACTAAGGCAGATGAAAGACAAACGATTCTGTGCTGAATGGTATCATATGTTCCCCGAATTTAATCTGCCCTTCATTTCTTTACGGAAACTTCTGACTTTTAGTTTATATTCTGTGATGTAGAGCTCCCCCTCCCACCAAAATAAACTGTTCCCAATAACGCACGACAGCCAGATTTAATATTATACCACTGCGGAATGCGTACACTTACCGGAAGCCGCCATGTTGTACATGCTGTGGTCCCGGCCCTTCCTCCTCAGGAGGCGGAAGATAAACACGGCCACCAGAGTGAAGACGGCAAAAGCGACGGCGAGTCCAATATACAGGGCAACGTCCGTCTCCACCTCGGCGCGCGTTGCTGGAACAAACACGCGAATGTCAATGTAATATCTCTATGGACTGTGCGATGCTGATGTCTGCTTACATGACAGGTCCACGTCACGCCTTTTGTTTCTTCGTTTAAAACTCAAATAAACGAAGGAACAAACAAAGGAACTAAAGAAATATTTAAAGAAACAGCGAGAGAGAAAGGAAGTAATTAACAAGAAGAAATAATGCAGAGAGAAAACTAATCATAAATCAAGAGAGAGAAAGAGAACAAACAACTTGACGGAGAAAAAGAAAGCTGATTAACAAACAAGGACAAATAAAGAGGGAAAGCAAAATTAAGGAACAATGAGAACTAAAGCAGATGAAGAAAGGAGCAGACAATGAGAACTATGGAAAAAACAAGCAAGGAACAAAAACTACAGATGGAAGGAAAACAAACAAGCATCGAAAACTATATGAAGGCAAAGAAAGAAATATCGAGGAAAACAAAAGCGAAGAAAAACAAACAACGAGAACAGAAAGGAAAGAGAAACAAACAGCGAGAACAGCAGAGGGAAAGAAATAAGAAGAAACAAACGCGAACTTTAGAGAGAAAGGGAAACAAGCAATTAGAACTGTAGAAATAAAAAGTAAACAAGAAACGAGAACTGAAGATGGAAGGCAACAAATCAGGTGAGCTAAGAGAAGGAAAAATATGTACAAAGAAAGCAAAAAAGAACGGAGCAAATAAACGACGAACAACGAAGCGAAGTACCAATGGCTGGCTGCAGTACAGACGGGTCGATCCGGCCTGTGCTGCTGCGAAGTTGCGGAATTCCAGCACAGTGACAGAGTTTCTGTTTCAGACCACTTATCCAGCACATAAGCCTTTAATTTTGTTCCGTAAACTTGGTCTCGACTCCTGACTGGGTAAGTCCTTTCTTCCTGCCGCCAACTTCTGGCGAAGTGCGCCCTATGCTGATGAACTCCTTAGAAAGTTACCGCAACAAACTACGTAGCTTAAGACCGTCAGCGCAAGCAGCGTGCTCACAACTCCGGCAGACTGTCCTAAGTATTGAAGA